AAGCGAAACAAAAACAACGTCACTCATACAGTTGGCGAAAATAAAATCTATATGCATTTCCACAGTCGCAAAATGTTCAAACAATCATCAATGCTCCCAACAGATGTCCCGTGCCATGCGAGGCAAGTCGTATGGCCGGTGGGGGCCCTCGCAGCGCCCAGATACATCGACGGTTACTCCTCGAGCACAGTTTGCATATCCCTGGCAAGGGTTCCGACCATTATTCCCTTATATTACTTAATGTCATGTTATATTGCTTCTAATATATGATCCCTGCGTCACAGCAACGGGAGTATTGCCACGTACGTATGTAGGAAGTCAATCTGTAATGCTGGACTGTACCATGTGAGGGGGGCTCGTATCCACGATACTAATTTAGCAGCATCATGATATTAGCCGACAACCTTTCCCTCCCGTAGCGGCGTCTTGTATCAAGCCACAAAGGCTTATGACCATGAAAATTTTTTTCCTTTGATCTTTTTTCTTCTACTCGCTTTGAGTATTTCGGATTTCTTTACGTTGTATGGTTTCCCCCACGTCAGGGGGGATGAAAAATTATAGCTCTGAACTTAAACATAATTGATTTTAATTCAAGGAGTGAGCTCTTGCAGTTCTATTCCCGTATGTCCCCTCTGAATGGTCAAGGCATGTTCTTGTAATGGCTGATTCAGCCTTGACTAATAACTGGGGTCCTGGGTCAATGTAAAGAATCAATCCATGGCTATTTAGCCTTGGTACTGCCGTCCGTAGGGTTAGTGTGGTTTTCATGTTTTCCCGTTCAGTGCCCTAATTCGGTTTGTTCCACGAGGAGGCTCTGGGGATGTACTCGATCACAGAGCACATGGTCATTACAGTGTGATATGCCGTTCATTTCTAGTGCATCTTGCTACGGGGTGATAGTCGGATTCCCGCCTGGATTCATGCTTCGTTCGGGATTACGGAAGAAGCATCATTCATTATCATTAGTGTGTCTTATGCTAAGTAATATTATGATCCCTGCTGTTGCGGAAGAAGCTTCAAGTATGAGGGATCGGGTATTAGGGAAATTCAGAACCAATAGGGACGTCGCCATGAGAGAAGCCAAGCGGCGCCTAATTTCAAGCCCGCAAGACCGTTAGGGCTGCACGCTAAATCACACCAGCTGCCACTCCGCAATGTAAGCCCACGCCATGCCTACCCGACCGACTTGCTGCCGATATTCTTCCGCGGTGACGCCCCGTGCGTCCTTTCGATCCCCGAAGCTGGTAAGTACGGCGATGGCTAGCTTCTGGCCGGGTGCGCCCAGCATCTTGGCATTCGGTACATCGACATACCAGAAGTCCCCACCTCCCCCCGGTCCCGAGCCCCGGACATGGGTGAAGGGCAGACGGTCCTCTTGCCGACCGTCGAGGCCGTGAACCATCAGCAAGAAAAGCCCAGGCTTGGCTCGGGTGTGATGCTCCAGGGTCCAGTGTTCGCAGATGAGATTGAACTGGAACCGGAGCGGGCTGGGGTCATGGATAGAGATTTGCTTGGCCGCCGGACGGAATGACCGTTCACCTATGCTGTGATTTTTTGCGTCACCAAAGATCGTCGGCTGCTCGGCGCTCAATGGTGAGTTCGGGTTGCCCAAGATGTACTCCTCCCAAGAGATCTCGGGCCGGCCATCATCCCGGAAGAAGTGAGATCGGTTGGAAGGGAAATGTCGGAGCCCGAACTCGTCATTCGAGTCGGTGAACATGGCAGGGCTGAAATGCTTCTTGTAAGGGCGGCCAGGGCCCTGAACTACACCCGCACCCCAACAGGCGTCCAATAGCTTCCACTGTCCATTATCAATTCTCACTGCACTCCAGGCATGCCCGGTTGCCGAGACAGGGGGTATAGGGGAGCCCGGGGCAGGAGCATCATAGCCGTATCCCTTACCGTGGCCAGCGACTACTACTGCCTCGAGCCCAGCGTGAGTTGCCAGAGCGGCAAACAGGCTGGCGTACCCCTCACACACCGCCAGTCCTGACGCTAGAGTCCCGGCTGGCGTGGAAGGTTTTACACATTTGTTAAAGAAGGAGTGCACATCATATTCTATATTGTGATGGAACCAGGTGAATAAAGCTCTCGCTTTATCGGTGGGCGAAGGAAACGGCGCTGTCAGCTCCGTTGCCAGCCATGCCAGATCGTAAGATGGCAGAGATTCGCGAGGATATCGCGCTGCGTGGGCATCAGGCGCCGAGAAATCACGACATTTCAAGCACATAGTGCTCAGTGCCGCAGCTGAATGCGCGGTTTTACAAAGGCGAGGTTTAGTCGCCTGAAGTTTGGCGAGATCGACATCTGGACGTGTCGCTCTGGGAACAGGAGGTGGCACCCCGTTCGGCTGTGCTTCTTGTACACCACTATTCATCCCTTGCCCAGAGCTCTCAGTGTTCCGATTTATCCCTACAAGCCCTGAACTTTGAATCTTCTCCAGGGCAGCACTCGAAGGGGGCGGCGGAGGCAGTTTTCTCATTGATGGCTTGCCATCGATATCCGCACTTGGTCCGGGTGACTTATCGCTATTTATCCTAGAAGGTAACGGTGGTGGCCGAGACGTAGAGCGGCCCCCATTAGTTGACGTGCTGTTGGTCGACTCCCGCCGAGGGGGTAGTGAGGGACGACCCTGCGAGAGGCTTCTGCTGCTGTTTGCCGGCGACGCCTCGGCCGTGAGGGTGGCTGAACAGTCTTCGTCTCTTGCTTTTTCGGCGGCAAAGGAGGTAACTTTGCACCCCAGGCAGGCGCACGTACGCTGCGAATGGTATCCGAGTTATTAGATGTAGTCGATGCTATTGTAGCCCTTCCCGCACTCGTAGAGGTTGAATGGGAGACATCCGAGCCTAGGGACTCCCTGGATTCCTTTCGAGAGAACCCTGACGGTCTTCGCGGTGGCAGTGCTGGTGCCGATTCGGTTGACGCCTTTCGAACCGGCAGCGGTGGAGGGGCCCTTGGTTTCTGGACCGGTGTTGGTGGTGGCCTGGGCACAGGTTTTTGTTGGGCTCCCGTTGACTCGGTTCTATCCGGTGAACTATCACCGGGAAAGCCATGCGAATTGACTGGGGGATTATTGATCGTTTGCTGTCGCGAAGGGGCAGGACGCGATGCGAAAGGGGTTGGATGCGCCCCGAGTAACGGCGACGCTGTCGGGGGGCTTTGTCCAGCCTGCGCCTGATTCAGGGCGGCGATCCGTTGCTGGATAGAAAGCACCTGTGTCTCTTCTGCCATTCTGTCCAAATCGCTCTCTATATGATCGCCAGGGAATAGTACAATGTCACTAACAGGTAGGAAATTAAGAATGACGAATGACGGTAAATATCCGGACTCAAATGGATGACCGGATTAGGAAACTTGGCAACTCCGCATTCAGGAACCGCGACCAGGAACAATTGGAAGTTTGGCGCGTTGGGCCTGTTCACTTGGGAAGGGCAAAGAAAATTTTGAAGCAGATAAGAGAGGTCTAGGGGGGGGATCATAGGTTTATAACGACAACCCCTGCATCCTCTCCAAGCGAGTGGCAGCTCGAGGCTGTGACTGTTTGAGCCTCGCGGGGCCAACGATGGCCTCAGGTCATTTCATCCACTTCATTGTTACATTCGCGTCCCGTTCTGGTTTAGCCCCTGATTATATAACAGATCTGGCCCCTTCTTCGGACGTCATGTGATGCCTGTGCTTTCGACCATTTTGTATGACCAGTTTGAGAATTATCAGAAACTGATCTTGTCGCATCGTATTTACATGTATGCTAACTGTTTTTTATTATATTGCGAACCGTGTTCAAGTGTTCCGGTGTTGACAAACTATGACACGTTCCAAATGGGCCTCAAAGTAACCGAAATATATAGTTCTCAAAAACGGGTTATCAGTACGTACTAGTCTATGGATAATAATAGTATGACTCAGTTCCTTGTGGACTCTTCAACGATGCACTAATGTATGGCCAAGTCTAGGTATTTGATACTATTAGAAAGAGGTAATCCTTCAAGCTAATATCTGAAAATTCTAGTAGAAGCTTCCAGCCAGGTTGTCAGTAATTTTAAAAACCTGTTGCTTCTCACACATGTACTTCGTGGTCCCCACTGCCTAGTCCTATACCGTACTAGGCAAATGGGTCTATATCCCAAGTTCTATTCCTGTCCCAGGCCCGAGCGTCTATAGTTTTCAGTATGTATATGTGCTTTTAATACCCCGTACAAAGTAATAGCCAAACGCAGCACGTGTACCAAATCGAATCAAATCGGGGAGAATAATTGTCTTATTGTTCATTATGAATGATTGCCGCAACCAATTTGATATCCTCCCTGAGTCCTTGCCTTTGTTCCGTTCCTTTCTGACAGTATTCAGAGCTGGCTCAAATTCTTATTGTAGGCGCTGGTTGGAACAGTGGTTGTGTGATTTGTGGAGTCATCCGATACAGGTGGATATTCTTCTATCTCCAGGTAGTGTCATCCCCAAAAAGAGGCACCCAGGTGCGCTTAGTATCCTACCCCAAGTCCACTTAAACTGCAACAGACAGCATCATGAATAGCTTGTGGATACCGGGTATTAGATACTTCACATGCCTTTACCCACGCCAAAGACGAAGGCCAGAACAATGAAAGTCACTTGCTCCATGTCAAAGGCCTCTTTCAGACGGAATGGGGCCGTACTGATGAAGGGTGAGGAAGCGAGGGGCATGTGTCTTCCCCAGGAGAAAGTTGCGGTAGTGCCGGTCAAGAGTTCCGAAGCTCATTATGATTTCGTCTCGGTCTTGCGAGACCAGAAAAATCCATGAAAAGACCCTTATATCAGGTTGCTTTCGAACAAGTACAATTTCATAAAAACATACCGTCCCGGCATTGCCATCTCTGGATGATTTCTCTGGCAAATCCATACCGCTATTTTGGCTACCTCTTGATACTCAACCTGAAGGAGAGCATCTTCCCTCTGCCTTGCCTTGCACTCTAGGAGCGCAAAGACCTTCTCTGGTTCTTCATATAGATGAAGAGCCCCATCAGTGCGGGCCTGGAAACCCTCCTCCCCTAGTGCTTGAAAGGCATAACAGGTTGCGGTCCATTGCGAATACACACCAGGATTCTTCAGACACACGGCTTGAAGATAGTCAATGGCTGCGAAGGTCACAGCTATCTCGTTGAAAAAGGGCACAGCGTACCACGCATTCTTTCTGTCCGAATCAACTGCAGACAAGTTGAGATTCATACCATTTCCAGTTAAGATATAGTATTAATGACATCGCGTGATCTCGAAGATTCCCAAAGGAATAGAATCATCGGGGTTCCTCAGCGTAGCCGGTGCCCCATCTTGGATACTTTGGAGATACTTCTGGAACGCCGGTGCAGCCTAGAGCATTGCTTCTGCATCATCGAATCTCTCTAGGCCCCCAGTGGGCTGGATCAAAGCCCACAAGCTTGCACAGAATGCGTATAAGTAGGAACTAGGCTTTGTTGACCCGAGATCCTGACATGAGGTTCAAATCCTGAAGACCCATCTCTGTCCCGGGCATCTGCATCTCTGACAGCCTTCTGCCATTCCTCCTCCGTCTTGGGGATCTGGAACCTCACAGCCGGCATTTTGAGAATCCCAAGCGCACTTACAATGGATAAGAAGACACGGCAACAGTGGAATTAACATAAAAAAGGGCCTTTGGTTTACTGTTGAACGATGTAAGCGCAGATCTAAGCATGGGGAAATCAAGAAATAAAGGCCCTTCTTAAATACCCCAGAGTCAGTGAGTGATGCACATCCATATTTTTCACTTGTTCTTGTAATTAACTTGCGAGACAAAGAGAGGGAAAGAAATGGCTCAGAACATTCACCAGCATCAGTTAAGCTCATGGATCCAGATCAATATCCTTGCAAGGTGAATTGCAGACCCTGAGATATATACTTTGTCAATATTTGTTGGATCCAGGCCTACACAAGAAGATATGGGACAAAGCTATAGTAGACCAAGCAATAATACAACTGTATGGAATCATAGCATAAATAATTAGAAGACAATTTTGACTTATTGAGACACTATACGCCAAGTCTGTAAATAATCCACGATATTCTTGAGCTTATGCGCCCGGTAAACTAGAGCAGTTGAATGGGTTGATATAAGAGATACTGGCCGAGTAGCCAAGGGCTAACAATCTACGACAGGGCCAGGAGGTCGGCCCTATGGAATTAATCATGGCCCGGTGGATCCCAGCACATCTCGGGGCTCGTGGGAATGAGGAGCGGCGGATGAGGCTGTGATCCTCCTAGTCACTGCAGGCATGAGTGATATTCGCAGAGGAACCAAAGAACAGTGGGCAGCACAATGTGAAGCCGACAGGACTGTGTTGCCATCATATAGACTACTCAAGGTGGGTAAATCAAGACCTGCGTTGATTCGTGCCAAAATGCGGTGAGCACTGGAACGAGAGTGGCATTTTTATAGACAGTGCTTCAGTCGATAGTATCCTGATTACAGCTTCATACTACCAAAACTGCTTCAAAATTTCCGCAAGTTTGTGGTTAATAATGTACAACGACGGACACGTAGACTTCCATCTACTCGTTGCTTTAACAAGCCACTACAGGAGGTGGTGAGAATATGTAGGGTTTGAAGAGCAGTGTCGCAGTGAATTACGCCAGCCAACTACACAATAAGGCTTACAGATATCCCTCCATATATACAAAGTCTTCCAAACCGGGTCAGGGTGCGGACGAGGTGTATTTTACCGAGCATGCCTTCCTGAATGGCCGCTTACAGAGCCATCACGAACAACAGAAGCCCATTAGATCGAACGTCGGCTTAGAGTATACAACACCCTAGGTATAGCAACTGTGGAAAGGCTTACTGAATGGGTTAAAATCTACCATTGATACTACTGTACAGACCGTGTGAGAAATTACACTTCATTGTGTTCTTTTCTATTCTAGATTCTTGGACCGCTTTGCTCAGAATAACTTTAACTTAGTGATAACGAATCCCGAAACCGATGAACATGTTGACTGATCAAGCCGCGCTTGCCACCTGTGCCTCCATTGCATACTCAACCTGATCAACCACGGTCTTCGCTTCCTTCTCATTTTCTTCCTTGCCCTTCCGTTGGTCCCCTTTATCGGGATAAAAGTCGATATTTCCATGGGCTTGGATCACACCAATGCGATCCAAAAGCGTACGGGAACGCACGTACGGATCCAGTTTCCAATAATTCTCTCGCAACTGCCGGGCGATATCCATCCTGCGATCCTTTTGCAGTGAGACATCACCTAAATTCCCCTTGCTCTTGGCGGAAAGCCACATCGAGGTTGCTTCGAAGAGTTCCTCTCCCATCTGTTGGCGCTGGGCCATGATGGAGTCTCTGGTGGTCGTATCCTGAAGTTGAGCATTCTCGTCTTGTTGAGGCTCTACATATTCGTAAGCCCAGTCTTCATCGCCGCCAAGCTCCGTCACAATCTGGGATCGATCGATAAATTGCTCCAAGTCTTGAACCGAGTTCACGAAATGTACTTTGGCAGCCACAACGGGGTCAAGCCAACCCCGGATGACCTTCCAGATTCCTGAATACAAGTATTAGCATGGTTCTGGGTAGCAGGATGGTGATAAAAGCTGCCTTGCACGCACCGGAGAAGAACCAGGGGGCATTGTAGAAGAGCATATATCCAAGCGATTCGGGATAGTTCTCCTGGAAGCATTGGATGATGAACTTGACTGGAGCATACTCCTGGGAATCGTCAGCGAAATGAAACACGGTTTCTCAACGGATCATAATAGTTTACCATATTTGAAAGAGCGAAGTTTGTCAAGTCGAAGATTAATGTCTACTCATCCAGTCCACGAATTAGCCGAGTCCATACCTCATGCTCAATCGCATGCAATGGGTACTTACCATGGTTTCAACCGGAGGAACAAGCAGCAGTCGCATCAACTCGATGTTATACAAAATATATGAATTGAGCGCCTTTTCAGTCTGCGCACCTGGCTTATGCGTCCGTGCTCTTACAACACAAATAGGACGACCGGATTTATCGGAGCCATGGAAAAAGCCCTTGCCCATGTGCAACTGTGCCATAAAGCCCTCTCCATCCTTTTTATCAGTGCTACCAGTGGTGCTCTGCGACTGCTGCAGTGCATGTAGCTCGCCCTTGCGGATTACCTCCTCTTCCACGTGTTGCTGCTTGCTCCACCACTCCAGTGCCGATACAAACTTGACAAACCCTTTGCTGACATCCCATTTCTCGGCACGTAAGTATCGAAGAAGGAACGTGTCTGGATGATCTTGTTTCATCATGGCAAAGAAAGCCGAGCGAAGCTCGTCCGGCTTGAGCTTGGGCAGAACTTGCTGAATCAACTTGATCTCCTGTGCGCTCATTTTCATGGCTTCGAGCTCAGAAAGCAGTTTGGCAGGCACCGAAGGCGCGTCGTTGGATTTGGCTGGTTCCTCCGACCATGATAGCGAGAAGAACTTCTTGCGCTGTTTCGGTGATGTTGTGGAGGTAGTCTGGCTCTGATTTGTTTCTGTGCGATAGAACTCTGGATCGCACGATCGCAGGAAAATCGCCCATAGCTGTAGCAGTTTCTCTTCTTGGTCTTGGGTGAGGCTCCCCACGTACCCCGTTTCTATGGTTGCGAGGCTCATTTTCAGTCGTATTCCGGTGGTATGGTGACGATGTTGGGTAAGAGAAGGGGTAGTTGTCAGGGCTTATATTTGGCTGGGCAACGGCTTTAGTAAATAGCGGCCCTCGATGATCCTCGGTCCGTAATGACTTTTCGTCAATTCCGCCGGGTGATGCCAATTGAAATATTAAATAGACCCCTTGGCTTAGTGTATATCGACAGTGGATTCCTGATCCACATGTGATTTTCTGCAGCTACTTTAGGTTAAGGGACAAAGAGGCCGGGTGTTGTCCCTCGGTATGTAAACGTGAGGGGTAAGAGGTATATCAGGGGCGATCTGCAAACCGCTGGGGCTCCGATTGACGCCTGGTCTCAAAGGTTTTGTTGGGGTTCAGCAACCTTGAATTGACCAGGTTCATCCTTTCCGCAAAAATCATGGGACAAGCACAGAATGTTGGCTGCATATCATCACCATGCTTACTGCGGGACGTGCTCATGTCCATCTGGTTGTCCTGCATAGTGGCATTTGATTGAACCTAGGCGATGGGACTTGACAAAGTATCCAATCAGGACTAGAGTTTCAGTCAGCTCAATTTCCAACCCCAGATAATGGATTCCCGCCGAATCGGGTCAGGAGTGCGAGAGGCTATGGGCCACTCCATCTGGAGGTCATATCTCGTGGAATCAGGGGAGAAGGGGAAAGCGGGGTTGATGATCTCAAAGTTGAATATTCGCCGCGTGGTCCAACCGTACAGGAACGGTATTGACTTAACCGATTTGGGGCCGTGGCTGGCTGGCTCTCAGGGCTCTGGGGTGGCTTGAGCTTAGGGCAAAAGAAAGAAGATCGGCGCCGGTTTTGGCAGCGTGACGGGGGAACACCAAGCCTCAACGGCACTAGCGGATGGGTGACCTTTAAAGCAGCGGGACGACATCCCCAAGCCATCATCTCCACCATCGGAATGGCCTGCGGTTCGAGCCGCCGACCCCCTTGGCCTTTGCTGCATCTTCCAGTATGACCAACCGCGACCCCGAGTTTCGACATCAGCTGGGCAAGTTTCGTCTTGATTCTTCCTTCTCATCGCATGTTTCCACGCCTCCACCGCCCATACTACATCCTGAAACCTCCCCGCTCTCTCAGCCCCCTTCCTTGACGACACCGACATCGTCGCAGCCACAGCAAACCCAGTCCCATACATCCCACCCCCATCGCAGCAAACGTGTTTCAACGGCGTGTGACTTTTGTCGCAAGCGGAAAAAGAAATGTGATTTTCGCTATCCGAACTGTTCCGCATGTACTCGCGCCGGGGTACGATGTACGATTCCTCCGCCGGGTCCCCAAGTCGCCAGTGCCTCCGTTCCTCGAGATCAGCTTGAGAATCTTCAGAACCGTGTACGATGGCTAGAAGACGTTCTGCGACGCAAGACGGGCCTCTCCGTAGCCGACAGGCCAACAGGGAGTGCACTGGACGGGGAAGGAGATCTGGACTGGTGGTATCAGGTACCAACTGTGTTAATGGGCCGGGACGGTTCCCGTTCAACGACGTCTGCGACAGCCTCGGCATCCAGCCCAGCGGACTCTCCTGCTGTCGGAGCAGAACTGCCCAATGTAGGCGAAATATTCCGAGATCAGCTGGAAAATCGACGACCATCGGTTGCGCGCCCGGTCGCATCTGCCCCGCGCGTTCTCCGCTTGGCCTCTTTGGAGGATGCTGAACGAGTGGCCTCGCAGTACTTCGACGGCATTGGCTACCAATACCCATTCCTCCATCGCCATGAGTTCTTTACGCAGTTACGACGCATATATACTGGTGACGTGCCATCAACTGACGTGCTATACACCTACCACATCACAATCGCTATCGCCATGCTGATCAGTAATGCCGATGGCACACAAGCGAACGAGTACTACCGTGCGAGCCAGGAAACACTATCACTGTCGTTGCAAAACGAGGATCTGTCGGCGGTGCGGGCCTTACTGAGCCTGGCTCTATGGACGATGTTTTCCACGAACGGCCCGAGTGTGTGGCATGTGCTGGGCAGCGCTCTACGTCTCGCGACAAGTCTTGGTCTGCATAAAGCTCGGAATTCGGGCAGTGTGGTGGAAGATGAAATGGCCAAGCGAGCGTTCTGGAGTCTATACAATCTCGATCGACTTGTTGCCAGCACGCTGGCCCGACCGTTGGGCATCGCGGACGAAGATATTAGCGTGCACTTACCGCGCGAGTTCAACGATGACTGGAGCGAAGCGCCGGGGGCCAGTGCCATGACGATTCCAGTGCAGGTGGTGCGACTGCGCCGGATATTCTCGCGGATTTACCGTTACTGTAGGTTTGGCGAAAGGTACTATGATACGTCTGAACTAACCTTTGCAGTATACAACAACCATCCTCCTCCTCCTCCCGCCGAAGTTTCCCTTACACTCCTTCACTTCCGGCAAGAGCTTGATGACTGGCGTCGGAATGCGCCCGTGTACCCTCCCGCACTTCTGTATTCGACCAGCTATTACGATTATCTCTATGCGACCACTCTGCTCCTCATGCATCGACCGAGCCCGCGAAATCCGACGCCGGATGCGACTAGCATTGTGAGCTGCGGCGATGCCAGCATTCAAGTGATCCGATCATATTGGGACAGCTATTCCGTCGGGAAGCTCAAATGGATCTGGCTGACGCTGAGCCAGATCTACTTCGCAGGGATCACCATCTTGTGGTGTCTCAACCAGAATTTCCTTTCTGTTCGGGATGGCCATCCAGCGGCCTGGCAGCCGAACGACCAGATGATGCGACGGGCCATTCAGGCAGTTGTCGTGGTGCTGGAAGAGTTCGGCAAGCGACGGCCGGGGGTGGAACGCCTGGCGGAGTCGTTTCGCCATCATAGCACAGTCATCTTCAGTCACTTGGCATATCAACAAGAACAAATTCACAGCCAACCTCCGAGTCAGCCACCGCTACAACCCCAGCTGCAACAGCAACAAAACGTTCTGGTGGCCCCGCCGGTGCCGATGGCGGCCACCTTGGACGATGTGCTCCTCGTAGATGGCTCCGGAAATGTGCCTCTGATCGATGCGCAGCTGGCCGACGAATTGTTCTATTCGTACGATTGGTTTCAGGAAGAGATGGCGACCTTTTATACCCTGTGAAGATGTACATAATTTATTCGTACGCAATGAAGTCGAGATGCCATTATCATTTGTCCGCTTATCACTGTCTATTATTACCCCACCTCTGATAAAAAGTACTACTTCACATCAACATCGGACCATGTCCTTTCTTAACCTCAACAAACATCCAGAAACACTCTCTTCCATCCACACAACACCACAATGACCACCACCACCACTAAAACCGCCCAAGCCTTCCACGGCACACTAATCCACAGCAAAGATCCCCAGACCCTCGAAATCCTCCCCGACACCCTCCTCATCATCTCCGCAACAGGCCAAATCCAGTCCCTCCACCTCTCCACCAACCCACCCGACATCCCAGTCCTCCTCACCCAAGCCAACCACAACCCCGACACCACCCCGTAACCACCCTCGCAGCCACCGAATTCCTGATCCCGGGCTTCATCGACACCCACACGCACGCGCCGCAATGGTCCCAACGCGGCCTCGGCCGCGGCATCCCGCTCCTCACCTGGCTGGAGCAGATCACCTTCGCGCATGAAGCCAAACTGGCCGACCCCGTGTACGCAAAGCAACTGTACCGCGCCGCCGTGCAGGGCAGTCTCAAGCAAGGCATCACAACAGCCTGTTACTACGGCAGCCGGCACAAGGACGCGTCGGTGATCCTGGCCGAGACATGTCTCGCGATCGGCCAGCGCGCGCTGATCGGGAAATGCAACATGAACCGCCACGCCCCGGACTGGTACGTTGACGCGTCCGTGGACTCCTCCGTCGCCGACACCGTCGAGTTCATCGCCAGAGTGAAGGAGCTAGACGACGCCACGGGGCTCGTGACGCCCGTCATCACGCCGCGGTTCGCCATCACCTGCGACGAGCATCTCCTGCGCGAACTGGGCGCCCTGGTGAAACAGAACCCGGGCATCCCCGTGCAAACGCACTTCAACGAGTCCCACGGCGAAGTCAACTTCACCCGCGACCTCTTCCCGCAGTTCAAGAACGAAACCGAACTGTATGATAGCTACGGCCTCCTCACCAACCGCACGATCCTCGCCCACGCCATCTACCCCCAGCCCGACGAGCTGCCCCGGCTCAAGGAGCTGGACTGCGGCGTCGCGCACTGCCCCATCCCCAACACCACCATGGATGAGTTCATGATCGCGCCGGTGCGCGAGTATCTCTCGCGCGGCATCAAGGTCGGCCTGGGCACGGACTGCGGCGGCGGGTACTCGTCGTCGATGCTGGATGTGATGCGCGCGGCGTTTATGGTATCGGTTGCGAAGCAGACGGAGACCGGGGGCAGGGATGCGCCGCTGAGTATCGCCGAGAGCTTTTATCTGGCGACGCTGGGGGGCGCAGGGTTGCTGGGTTGGAGGATCGGGTGGGGCGGTTTGCGCCGGCTGGAGTTTGATGCGTGTCTTGTCCGGACAGGCGTCACCGAGGGTGTTATGGGCGCCGGGTGGGAGGATGGCGGATGGCCTCGAGGGTGGCTTCGAGAAGTTTCTTATGACGGGTGAATGATCGGAATATTGTTAGGGTTTGGGTGCAGGGTAGAGAGGTGAAGGTGGCTGTTTAGA